AAATAAATTTTGTATTGTTAGATACACATGTGTACTGAACCGAAAGCACTGTATCGAACGGTTCAATATCAACACGAGTATTGTTGCACCCCTACTATGTATATATATATATATATATAGATATAGATTTAGATATAGATATAGATATATATATAGATATATATAGAGATATAGATATAGATAGATATAGATATATATGTAACCTCTATGGACATTTTCAGGTCAAATAAAGAAAGATGTGTGCTTTGTAATCTGACAAACGCAGTCCACATTCAAGGTTGCCTATCATTACTACCAATGGTGAAATGAAATGGATTTATTAAGTATTGCTCAGCCTGATATCCACTTCTGTTTTTTTTCTTCCTCTTTAGTAGATGATCCCCTTTATCTCGAGTCCATTAATGACTTCAGCATCTCTGAAGTTTATTTAATTAATGCTAAAAGTGTAATTTGATGTAAGATGTAACCAATGCAAACTGAGCTGCGTGATGGCGTTATCTCCTTTCCTTTCACAAAGAGTTGGTTCTGGGTAGGCTTAAAGACAAAACCAGGTGACTATGGCGATCATTCATGGGGAGTTTACGAGAAAACTAAGATAGAAAGATCTCATTGTTATGGTTTCCTGGGACGACACTGAAGCGTTTTAATTCTCTGAGTAATGAAGAGTAAATCAGGAGGAACCCTGATTGAAGTTTAAAGCAGAAGTAGGACTTTTTAACAGTGCTTTGTTTTTTAGAGGAAAGAAAGGTGTCGGTTCAGATCCGCTGACTCTTGTTGCCTCTCGCAACTCTTAACAGCTGGGATTGGCTCCAGCGACCCTGACTTAGATAAGTGGAAGTGCGTGGAGCCAACATCCTAATACTAACTTGTAAGGATGGCGGCCCCAATACATAAGTGGCTGAAACTTCTCAAAAGTGTACTTAAGTACTTGATTGAATGGATTTAGTTACTTCTCACTGACAGAGAGTATCATAAAGGTAAATATAACCAATTTAAAACAAGACGGGGTTTCTTTTGATTACTTAATTGTTCTCATTTAATTCTATATTCTCAGACTTGATCACATTTCTAATAAACCACAGAGAAAAATCCGTAACTGTGAAACAGCTGGTCTTTTTCCAGAAAAGTCCCCCTGGAAAAACCAGAGGGAATTTTTTTTAAATGGCTCCATCTGATAAATTAAGGGCAAACCTGTACCACCAACCCTTACAGTGTATTGATCTAGAGGCTCTGTAGCGTTGCTACTGTGGTTTGGGTCTCCCTCAGCACCTTTATCCTCCAAAAAAAGACTTTTTGAAACATCCTCCAGCCCTCCAGCAGAGTTTCACAGAAAAGTCAGAGCATTAAAGTTTTTCAGGCAACATCTTAGTAAGACATTTTATGCTGTTTTTCTTCCTTTAATTTGTCACTCATATGTATATGTTATGTGTGAGTGGGTGGGGAAAAAAGGAGAACATGTTAGTGATGCTTTTCCTGTCAAGAAAAAAAAAGAAAATCGCAGCTGTGACACAAAACCCAGCTTTCTGTGGTCTGGCTGCGTTGAGAAAAAAACAAGTTTCGCTCTTTGTCTTGTGATTCATTTTTATCTGAATGACTGTTGATCCGAAATCAATAAATAAACAGAAAGAAATTAGCTCTTTATTTAGATTCTGAATGAACCAATAAATCTCATTACAGTAACTTGGAAGGTGTGAGGTTTGCATCTTATATCAGTCTGTGTGGTTTTTATTCCAGACTCTTCAGATCCACCTTCAACACTTCAGGAGTCCCCCACCAGATTCCCACCTACACGACCAAAGTCCAAGGCCAAGGACGCCTCCACGAAAGAAGAGGATATAAAAAGTAAAGCTGGTATGAAGACAAACCAAAAATATAGCCTGGGGAATCGTGTACAGCAGTATCATGGGCATTTCTAGCACACAGGAGCAGACTGTGCAAGCCTTACCTTTACCTGCCCTTTCAGTTACCTTCCTTTTGTGCATTAATGTTGAGATTCCCACACATATCAAAAAACCCCCAATAATGTTCACAGATTTTTAATTAACCATTAAGTCTGTTTGCAATTTCTACCCCAGGACTCTTGTGTTCGCTTCAGTCCTCATGGGACAAAACTCTTCTGTAGGGCAGCTTCAGCAACACTGCTGAACAAATTGCAGTTTATTAAATACATTTTTATGCTTTCAATAGTAAATAATTAACAATAAAACAACATTAGAAAGTGATTATAGTCCTTTTAGCTCATAAAAAAGCAAAATGAAGGCAACATTTAAACTACACATTGGCTCTTGATTGAAATATTTGAGTTTATTTGTGTAATTTGTTGTCGCTAACAACGATTGGTAGAAACCAAACTCATCAATCCTTAGTAGACTGGATTTGAAATTGTCTGAGCAGCCTTTTTATTCTGCTCTGACCCACTTCGTGATCATCGTGTGACTCCGCAGACGGACAGAAGAATAAAACAATGCTGCAAACTGTTCATCAAAATGACATTTCACTGAGTCCTCCAGTTTGCACTCAAACCTCACGTTAACATGAGTCTGTCATGTGCCAAAAAAAGGGCCTGTGTTTTCTAACAGGGTGACACTTAAGATGAAGCATATTCTCTTGTGTCCAGCTTCAGCTGAGCTTTTTCACGCTAACATGTACTGATCAGGCCGTGCCGGGGCATTAAGTGAGTGAAGTTGTTTTTAAACCTTTGTGTCTCTTGCCCCTTAAATTTTCTTTTTCTATCTTCTGACAGATGTGGGCTCGGAGACAGGACTCTTCACGTGGGTTGTCTCTGGCTGTGTGGTCCTGCTCGTGGTCATCATAGTTCTGTTGGCCGTGTTGTGGAGGCACCGTCACCGTCGCTGCGTCCCAGATGGGCAGCAGTCCGCCTCCGTGTCCCTCAACACTTTGGGTGTGCCGAAACGGGACAGCATCAGCAGCGACAACAACGGCTCGGACCGCAGCGACGTCGTCTTTCCTCTGCGGGCTTCCGACAGCATGATCTGCCGTCACTTTGAGCGCGTGAGCAGTGACTACGGGCCCCCTGTGTACATAGTTCAGGAGATAATGCCCCAGAGTCCCACCAACATCTACTACAAAGTCTAATGCTTGCTGCTCTGATGACACTTCTCTGCTGATATGAGGGTAATCATGAATCTCAGCTACTGAGGACAATCTGAGAGCTGTGCGCGGTCCAAAAAAAAATACAGATAAAGAGCAAGAGCTCCTCAGTGAAGTGACAAGACAATCAGACAGCAGACTGGTGTCTTAACATATCATTGGTAGTTGTATCCAGTTTGTTTTTGTCAGATATGCTTGGAAATGGGGGAGGGATGTATTTATAAGAAATTCTTTATTACTGCCACCAACACGTGGCAGCTTTAGATGTACAGTAAATGTGTATTTAATATTAATTTATTGATGAATTGGTTTAAGTAAAAGAGGGGAAAAAAGCTTAAAAACTGCACTGCAGAGCATTAAATTCATGAGCACTTTGAGGTTTTTTACAGCCGAAATGTGTTGACTTTGTTTGAACCGAAATGAAAGTCATGATTTTGTGGATTTTATTAAAATGAAAGTGTTTCAAGGGACTCCTCGCCCAGTCTTTGTGATCTGTTTCTACTTAAGGATTCAATCACGTGTGAACATCAGTTTAAAGGGAAAAGGTGTTTAACTTACTTTTAGGACACCGTAAAATAAAGTGTCTTCAGTTTCCCAAAGGGGAAGTGTTGTAAATGAACAAAAGGGGGATGTATGTGGTTAGATACTGATATTACACAGTGAATACAACAGCACTCCGATCTGTTAAATATAACCACTCAGTTATACTTCAAGTACTTTTATAGACTCCATCGCCTTAACAGAGCTTTTCTACTCTTATTGATCCCTCAGTGCTTTTACACTAAACTAAATTCACCCAATTCAACACTTACAGCTCTTTATTTATCAGACACACTCACGCTGATGGACATGCAAGCTGATCGAGCCACCCTTAGATTAGCAGACAGCTGGCTTTGCCCTACATCATGCTTTGATGCAAACAGTTGCCTTGGTAAAGTTAAGTTTAACCTTAAGCCGCTCTCTGAGTGGCTTTCAGGGGGAGGTGCTGGATGAATGAAATTAGGCTCTGAGCTTTTCTCATCATCAAACCTCTAATGGTGCTCCTGGGAAACTGAGTTTCACTCTGGGGTAAACACCATCATTAAAAAAACAACAACATGTTTTAAGGTTGAATAGACAAAAATTACATCATAGAAACTAGAGTTAGATGTACTGGAAACTGAAGAGATGGCTGTAGAGTTAACAATTAGAAACTTTAATGGTATGAGTAGGGCTCAAAAGAAAAAATAAAAAGAGCCTAAATGTTAAAGCCAAATGGGAAAACAAGCACCTAGCACTTACTCTCTACCAGTTTTCCCTCAGAGTTAATAACAGGTTGGCGGTTTTGCATAATATCCCCGAGCTACGAAATGATCTGTAACAAAAAGAAAACGTATTTATTTAAAAAAAACCCACTCAACATTCAATTGTGACTCTCGTCTCTCCCGTGGCGCCGTGCGAAGCATCGATTTGTGAACATGTTTCATGCTCCTTCAGCCACATCATGCTGCACATTTTCAACCTGCCAACTTCCATGAGCTTCTCCTCCACCGGGGACACCGTTGTCTCTGAAAGCACGATGCCATGCTAGAGGCTCGAGCTAAAATTAAACAGGTTCTCTATCAGCGCTGTGCAGTACTGCAGATTTTGGTATCAATCTGATACCAAGTCAATACAGGGCTGGCATTTCTGATACTGATGCGGCTTATGCAGGGAGAGCTGTGTGCCATCACACCTTTCAGCCTTTCATATATTTTGAAATGTTTTTTTTTAAGACGTGGAATCTAAATGTGCCAGGCTACATGCTGAACTTAGAGGACAGAATTAAAGCATCGATCTTAATCCACGAGTATCAATCTAATACCAATACCAGCGTGAGTATCAATATCTTGATCCATTCACCATCTGCTGTTCTCTTTAGTAAAAAAACAAACAAACAAAAATAAATAAATACATATCATGCTTTTCATATAATGTGGGTTTTTTGATAAAATATAGAGTATTTTGTCAAAAGAAACCTTACTGCACCACTTATATTTGGCTCGATACACACACTTTAATGAAGGCCTGCAGATGACAGGCGTGGACGGCCTCATTCTTTTCCTGCAGCAAAATTTAATTTCCCCTCCGGCAAGATGTGTATTTAAACTATCAGAGGATGACTTAATAGAAAACGTGTCAAATATAACTTCATTATAACTTTCTATAATTGACTTCTTTAATAGACTCAGCGTGGTCTAAACCACTCGTACTTGATGGGGATATCATCCTGATTATCTGCCGGACTATAACGTTATAAGCCACGCTGCACTGGATCGCATTTGATTCATACCTTGGCTTGAACTACCTGATCCGGAGACTTAAAAACAGAAATAATATGGCTCAGCTTGTGAATCTGACACACTGCAGAGCGTGGCCGTCGTCTGTCCATGTGTCCCTTCACCGCCACCCCCTCCTCGCATGAAGCGATGCTCGCTTTTTAGAGATGTTTTTGTCCTGTGTGAAGCTCCACAGCTGAATGGGCCGTGGTTGGGCGAGGTGAGTTCAGCTGACCTCAGGGTCACGCCGAGACAATGGTGGTCAGGCTTCTATGGGAAGAACAAAAAACAGAGGCCCCTGTGCTTATGGCCCCTGTTGTGGGCGGGGCTTTGGCTCTGGTAGGCCATTTTGGAAAGAAGAGGCCTTAAAGTGTCCATGCATCAGAGGGGATGTTTGGATCTCGATACAGGCTTTAGTAGGACAAGTGGTGGCAGCGTGGTGCTGTAAGTTGTCCTTTCTATAGGTGAGGTCTCCTCTAAGAATTTATATTACACCAACACAGCCCCATTCCTTAATGCTTAAAGCACTTTTCCTATGTCTCTATCAAAAAATGATGATGTGTGATATGAAGAGTGTGCTGATGCCTTAATAAATCTTTAACTATTATTTGTGCAAAGAGTGCTGAGCTAGGAGCAGG